TAGAGCCATCCCTGAACTTTCACAAAGAGAGCTACAGTTGCAACAAAAGAACAGGTTACCAGTCATCGAACACACCTTTATATCAGTGTTGTAAACTCCGAAAATTGAAAACCCGCAATCGGAATCTCGAAAACCGCTAAAAACCGCTAAATCCGAAACACAGCGCAAAAATGACTTCTTAAGAATTTTTTTTTTGCTTTAATTCTTTGTCCAAAGGTATCATAACAGTATAGATCATATCAATGTCATCTGAAAGGAAGCTTTCCTTTTGTTGTGACTAGAAATCTGTCACGCCGCGACACAGTTCACCCAGGTGATACGAGGCCAAAATTGTGGAGCGAGCGCATACGAACATGGCAAGGGACCCTTGAGCAGGGCGTGACTGGTCAGGCTTCCGTTCAACTCGTAAAGTCATCTACCTGCCAGAGGAGAAAGGTGCAGCAGCCGAAACATGCTTCTTTGTTGCAGCATGCGCGACCAAATCCACGTGGTTTGCAGATAGTTCCGTTCTGCAATAGCTGTACCTGGTTCGTCTGCTATCACCAGGAACCTCCAGTAGGCAGTCATTAAGTTTGGGGTCTTGTAGCAAGGCTTTTCTAAACTTATGAGCGGGCTTCACCCGGCCCATTTCACGAGGCAGTCACAAAAACGTCAAAGGAAGATTGGAAATTCATGCTGTTCAAACGTGCGCGCACAAAACAGGGAGGCATGTTTCGATATTCACCGCTTCAATATTTTGATGGCGTCACAGGCGTTAGATCTCACTAACCAGAATATTACTGAGAGTAAACAAAGATGACTGTGGCTGATTATGGATACGACAGGTGCATAGTTGACTGTAAATCGATATAATATAATACGATAAAATACAATACAATACAATTTCTATATCTCTAAAAAAACCACCAAGATTACATAAAACCGGATAAAAATCCCGCCGCCCGCAAAGCAATAATTTATCCCGCTAAACAGAACCAAAAACCGCTTAGTTTAGTGGAAAAACCGCTAAATTGGCAACACTGCTTTGTATCCGGAGCATTCGTCACTTAGAATGTACACAAAAATTAACCTTTATTCCTTCTCCCTTTGTACCCCCCCCCCCCCCCCCCCCCCCCTTTAAACTAAAGAACGAACCAAACTTCCCCGAGGGACTTATAGTATTCAGACCTTCCAAAAGCCCTACCCTGTTCTTCATTTGCTCGTCTTGCGGACAGCAACATCGAGAAGCGACTGTTGTTAAGTTCGAACAAGAGACTTTGTAAGGTCGTTGTAAAAGCTCGTGCAATGTGGGGTAACAGTACATTTGGCTCGTCTGAATCGCCCACCACAAACATGAATATGGGTAAAAGCTGAGATTTATAAATGTGAATATATATCAAGGAATGAAACCCTGCTTCCGCTTGTTTTCTTCTCCTGGTGCTCTACCATCACGGAATTCAGATTCATCCGTTCCCATTTGATTAAATAGATTCAAAAACACTTTTTTCGATCAAAGTAAGTATGCTAATCAGCAAAAACACAAATGCAGCGTATGTGTAACGATACGTTCCATTTTTTAACTGTAACGGGAACGAGTTCCTTTTTCAGATATGGAACTTGTAACGGTAACGCGTTCTAAAAATCAGAAGGAACGAGGAACAATCTTTCGTTCCTTGTTTTGAGGAACGTGTACAACACTGCTTACAATCACCTTCGTCGTTAGCCGTAGCTTCCCGTCAAGGACGCGTTAACGAATTGCTGCTCCATTTCCTCAAAGCTCAATTTTATCCTGTCATCTCACTGAGCATAACAAACACTGCCTTGATTGTCTGCGTGACCAGTGAGCTCCTTGTGCGTCCCGCAGCTATTCACCAATTCACTGTTGCTGCGCCAATAGTTCTAAACATAACGCAAACCAATTTAATTTGTAAGTATCTTTTTTTTTAGAGAGAGAGAGAGAGAGAGAGTTTACAATGCAAGATGCAACGCCCCCTTTCAGGAAACCGAGACTGGTGAGGTAGCGCGGCTATTTTCGTTTTTATTGCAGCTTTTTTTATCTTCACGTTGAATCGGATCGCATGCCCAAGTGCACACGCTTAAACGAGAAGGTACAACTTCGTTAATCTTTTATTTTTATTTATAGAACGGGGGACACTAAAAAAGAATGACAACCGTAGTGCAAACTTTTTTCTTCGAGACGGGAATAGAGGAAGCGTTGAATCGTCTCCGCATCCCAACCGACTAGAGTGGACATTGATAACAGAACCAGAAAAGAGCAAGAGCAACAACTCCAACATATAAATAAAAGGACATGACGCGCGTGGCCAGCACAAAGATAGCCATTGGAATCGCCTAGCGCGAAGTCAAAGTCAGGAATCGTGAATCGATTATTCCTTTCTATTCAGGGAGTTAAAACAGTCCGGTGATCGCGTTTTAACGGGCATACGTTCCTCTTCCTCGCACAACGAACAACTTTTATTAAAGAAAAAAGTAATAAAAGTGGCTTGATCTAAAAGCACCATTCTTTGAATCAAGGTTTAAAAGGCCAAATGCGGTTAAACGTTAAACAAACACACGAAAAAATAACGACGAGTAGTTGTAAATTTTAAGCGAGAAACGAATGCGCGGCAGTGCAAGTCGTTTCGCTCAAAAGCTATGGTCCACTGAAACAAGCAAAGCCTTCGGTGAACCGAAACGGTCAAACAAAAGGTTGCAGTTACGATGCGGTGAGGGAGACAAAAAAGAGAGGGCTCTGGAGCTGGCCAGGGATTGCTCGCCAAGGAGGAGAGAGCTGGTTCCAGCGGGAAGCCAGGAGCCAGCTGCCGGGTCCCTTGGTCCTACTGGAGTGCGCAAGCCTGCAATGGGGCAGTCAGGGAGATAAAAGGGCTGGCGGCGGCCTACATCAGCCATCTCGAATCATGACGATCGGGTTGTAACGCTTGTTGGACTGCGGCAACTGGAACGGGCTCTCGGGCAAACAAGAAAAGGAAAATAAAGAAAAGACATGCTGCTTCGTGCTTTCAGCATCTCTCGCTTCCTTTCTTTCTTTCTTGCGAGGAACGCAGTTGCTGGGTTTGAAATGTTTGTTTCGTTTCGTTCATGTTTCAGTTTTTCTCAATTTTTTTTTTTTTTTTATTGTGGCGAGCAAGTGGAGTTTGGCTCCGTTTATGGCGTCTCTTTTGTGGTTTGCTTTGTCATGTCTTAGTATTTTGGCGGAGGAGAAAAAAATAATAAGAGGGATTAAAGAGCGTAACAGAGGCCCGATTCCTCGCACGACCTTTCGCGATTTATGGGTAGTTGTGGCCTCTTTCGCCTTTTTTTAGTCGTCCTTAGCTAGAGCAGTAAAGGAGTGGACCGGTATGGGACCGGTCGGTCAACCACAGCTGCGCTGGCTTCTTCGCGGGATTTATTGATATCCGTGTTATACATACATTTAGCTTGAACCTCCGAGTGTGTTGCAATGTACTAAAACCAATTGTGTGTTATGTTTAGCCATATGGAAGTCAGTGAGCCTCAATTTGGCGTCTGCTTAGTCCGCTGAAATTTTTTTTTCTTCAGTGTAATAGGGTTTTACGTTGGAGGCTTCAGCGTGCAGCAAGAAGTAGTGATACACGACTACGTTGCACCAAGGAACTCACGCACGAAGCACGTACCATGATTAAGGGCATGCTGATATATATCGCTGTTTGCTACTCAAGTGGGACCGCACACGGGGACAACTTTTCTTGGCATTTCCAAAGAGAGGAGAAGGGCGGGCGCGGCAGCTTTAATCCGCGGCCGTACCTTCGACCACATGCGAGGAAAAGTTGTCCCCGACGGTGGGGCGTTATGCCCTAGTGCCTCCGGAGCAACAAACAGTGCGCAACAACCCACGTCCACCAACCTCGAGCACGTGCAATATGCGGGCGAAGGTATCTTTGGTAGGCTAACCTCTCGGTGTTCGTGAAGTAAACACGAGTGATTGCATGCCTGCCCAAGTTACTTCCGCGTGCATGCTGCGCGTGCTTCAGGTTGGTCTTGCCGATTGCTGCGGTGTGTCGCTCAAGTAGGACCAGCTCCTTTTAAAAATGTATTTAAAGTACACTTTCCTAGAGATCACGGAGCCAGCCGATCACGGCGAGAAATAGAAGAATCACAGCAAATGACGAAGCTCAAGAAACGATTATAGCTGAAATATGCTACATGATAGGGGCAATGAGAATTTCGTTTCACTTACTCATTGTTTCTGCCGAAATTGCATTTTGTTTTTGTCTAATTGTATTCTGACCTTCGTCCTTCCACTGCTCGCCGTGACTGCATGGCTAGCTTCGTGTTCTGCAGGAAGGTCAACTCACACCCTTTTTCTCAGAGTGAGGGCTTTAATAGGGGTCGTTACTGAATAATGCATGTTAACGTTGTCGTACTTTAACCCCCTCCCCCTCCCCCCCCCCCCCTCGAAAAAAAAAAAGTTTGTGCAGAAGGATTAACTGTGGCACCAGAAATGAGACTATGACGACCCTTTACTAGAATAAAACGTGTTACGAAGTGTTAAGAAGAGCAGAGTATTCTTACAGGGGACGTCAGCCTTGCCTAACCGCCGCTCTTTGTGACACGCTGGCCTAAAGAGTAGCACGAAAACCGAGCCATGACCGTGCAACCTCTATCAGCGAGAAGGTGAAGTGAGAGAAATAACTCCCGAAAGCTGCATTGTTTCGAGCAGCCCCAGAAGCCGGCGCGCCCACGGTCTTTAGACCGTACCGTGAAGAGGAAAACTTGACTCCGGCGGGTCGGGAGCCCGGCGACGTCCGTTGCGACTGTCGCCCTAGGTGCATCCACGGAGTTTCCTTCTGCGTCCCGTTGCGGAGGACAGTGGTGGCGGTGGTGGGGCCCACTAATTCAGGTCACCCAAAACGGCCTTTCGGTGATTTTGTTTTTATTATTTTCTTTCCTTCTCGGTCATGTCTACCCGCCCGAGAACGCAAGAAAAAAAAAATACTACGCAGCTTTTTTATATTATTTTTTTGCGCTGTTGTGTTGCCCCTCCGCAGCTCCCGCCTCTTCCTCCCTCTCCGCCTGTCGCTCCTTTCCCCGTGGTCACGTAAAAGAAAAACGGCGGACGCCCTTCCATTGGCGCGAGACACCGTTCGCCTCGTGACGTCAGCGTTTTCTTCCTTGCCCACCACGTGCACTTGCACTGGTCTACCCGGCATCACCGTTCGCGATTCCACGCAATGCTCCGTGTACTTCCCTCGCTGAGCTGGACGCACAACAGTCGCGTTGTTTTCGCTTGAACGCGCCGCTGCTCGCACCCGCTCTCTCCGTAGCGCTCCTCGGTCCTGCCACTGTTAGGATGTGCTCCTGGTCATCGACTCCTCGCGGTCTCTTCTGAGGATCGACTGTGACTATACCCCGCCGGAACTTCGGCGATCCGAAGATTGTCTTCGCCGAAGGCTCGACGCTCGTTCACATTGGGATACGCGAGGACCGTGTACCAGGCCAACATGCAGGTCCTCTGGACGCTTCTTCTGGTGGTCGCCGTAGCTGTTCAAGGTCAAACGTCGTCTTCCACGTCTCCAGTGAGCGCAACGACGACGACGTCCACGACGACGACGACGACTACGACGACAGAGACACCGCTAACGACGACGCCCGATGCCGCCGAGCTTGTGCGACAGTCGTGGGCCAAAGTGGAGTCTCTGCTCAAGTCGACGGTAGACACGCAGTTGAGGAGGCTTTTGCCGCAGATGCTTCGTGCGAGCGGTGAATCTGGAATGTCGCCAGAGTGCCAGGCCGCCAACTTCAAGGTGATGCTTGGTCTGCGGCAACTCAAGTCGTGGGCCATCAGATGTGAGTGACGTTTTATATGGATCACTTAAGCACGTTGCTGTTGTCTTAGTGCATGACACTTGACGGGCTGACAGCTGCCTTGGATTCTGTTAACCTTTCACGTGGGGGGCTTCTTATTACTTACACATTTTTTCTGTTAGTATTTGAGTCTGCAATGATGTCCAGCTGTTCGCCACTAAAATGGGAAATTTCACTGCATTCAGATATTTAGATTAGCCCTTATTGAAGATTGCGTGCTCAATTTGGTTCAGGTTGGTCTGAAACGAGCGGAAGGCACGTTAACAGCTTAGGGCGTGAAAGTAACTTCAATACAACGACCTGACAACATCACTGATTTTATCTATAGTTTATTTTCAAATTAACATTTATAGCTCGACTGGTACGCTTGTAAATGACAACTTACCAACTATTTTCACGTCACACGACCTGGCGGTACGAAAAATTACCCCTAGGAAAATTCACTTTCCAAAATTAGTTTGGTGTGACAGGATGTTACGCACGTTCTTGTCCTTGGTCTTGCAATTGAACCTTATAAGACAGCAACAATTTGACCGACATCAAATGAGAGGTGGCACATCGATCAACCCGCGTCGCCGCTTTTCAGAAGAAAAAAAATAGGACCGCGGAAAATTGGCCAATAAATAAGTACTATGTATGCAAAAACCAGCGGGCAGTTCACAAGGAAAACGAACGGTTCAAAAGCTTTAAGAAAGTGTACTTCTTTGTTTAGATACGGAAGTGGCGTGCTCGATTGTCCTATATACACCAACGCCTGGCTATGACGTCACGCCACTAGGGTGGCGTTGCTGTGGGCACAGGGTATGCGCGGAAGCTCTAAAAACAAAACAAAAAACTATCTGCTTGTAAAAGACTTTTTAGAGGTAATAAAACATAAAAAAATAGCGGAAAAAGAAACAGACAAGGACAAGAAGTATACAGGACAGGCGCTAACTTTCAACTAGTTTTATTCAGGAAAAGCCAACTAGCCCAACAACGTACCCTACTAAACTATTTTTAGAGGTACTTTGGCTCGTGCATATTTTGCACCTTAAAAAAGTTCTTCTTATCACCCCCTGAAAGGGTCCTTCGTGAAAAATCTAAAAGGGGTTCTCTTAAACACCCTTTTTTGATGCGAAAGAGTTTTTCATCGCCCAGTTATCTTTCTAGTGCGTACGGGGGCGATAGTGCTCGAGGCGAAACCTTTCTTTACGAGCTAAAAGAGTTTTCGGGTTACCAAAAAACTCTTCAAGAACATGTTTTTTTTCTTTTTAGAATGTATAGGTACCCACAAGGGCTCACCTCTATAGCGTACGCAGGCTTTTGGGGGCGATATCAGGATGGTTGTCGTATATTTTTGTTGCTGTTGTTGTGTGCACATGGATCTTCTATTCCAGAATGTACTGTACTAACCGAAATGGAATATATACATATACATAAAAAAAAGGGACCCAGACTTGTGGAGCAGAGAAAGGCAGCAAAATGTCCTTGGTGTACTCGCGTAGTTCAATAAGTTATGCTTTTATAATATCAGCGCGAAATCATACTCGCTTTCCTCAGTCTTTACTTCACCGACGTCCTGTGTAGAATCGATCTCGAAAATGGCATCTTCTCGTGGGCGTTTCATCGGAGCCACACTCTCATGCCGCGTACACACCGTGCCAACACCACCTTGCAAAAGCCTGTCTGCAGAAACACCGTTTGAGGCGCGTTTCGTTTTTGTATGGCGGTCCTGTCACATTGTCCCTACAACAAACTGCCTGCAGACATGTTGAAGCATGCACGAATCAAACATGCTTGAGGCGTGTACGCAGCTTCTTTCTTCGTGTCTACAGCGAACACTGCGTCCTCTGTATGATGAGCGCGGCTTAGAAAAACCCTCGAGTTCACTTTCCTGGAGGTAGCCACTAATCCCGGTGACCTATGGAAGGATCCTAGCGAATAACGAAGCCGTGAAAAGAATCGGACGTAACAAAAATAAAGAAACGATGTGTGCGCAAGGGACAACATGAGCTAATAACACGTCATGCTCATTGTACCCGCGGACATCCCATTTTGAAGCATGGAAAAGTTCTTTAACACTACCCCCGAGTCCGAATCTTCTCTGTCCGGCCATCCGTGCATTTTCCGCTACGAGCCGTGACGGTGCACTTTTGGCGTCGATGGATCGTCCCCATCGGACCGTCTGCTGCGGTCCTACTTGGAATAGAACTTTGTACGTACAAATGGAGCTCCGCGGCAGTTCTTTTCTCGTACGCGATCTTTTTTTAACCTTCCGCGTACGTTCCATCGTCCATTGTTGCGGAGGGCGCGCTCAGAGAGCACCCGTCGTCACTGCACTCGACGGAAGGACCTTGGGGAAAGGCGAAGCGTATGATGAGCTCGCGTTGTTGCCCCCTCCTCCAGTAGAGCGTATCCCATTTTCGGACCGAACCCTTATATATACAATTTCTCGCTCGCGGGGGATGTATCACTTTTTCTTCTGATAGCAGTGATTGGCTGTTTAGCAAAAGACGCGCTTCTTTTTCTTTTTTTGTTCTGCTAGCGTTATACGCAAGTTGTTTTTAAATGTGTGGCTTGGGTGGACGCATCATCGCGAGAAGTTAATAGAGGATGTGGTTGAATAGTTTTCATGCGTAAGGTGTAGTTTATAAACGAAATATTCGAGCTCTGATTACATAATATGCCACTGGTGTTTGGGGCACCAAAATAAACACCCGCGCATATTTTTTTGTTCTTTTTTTTTATTTAAGGATGGAAATGGTCAGCTAGGGAAGCAAGATTCTTAACGTATCTCTCTCTGCGAGTATTTTTTTTCTTAATTTTTTCTGCCGATTGTTTGCTGATATAGTAGAGCTTCACGGACTGCCGGAAGCTAGTGGGATATGATAGGGTCTCGTTTCATTCGTGTGTTTGGGTGATTATGAAGCGCACGAGCGAGTTACCGGTCACGCCTCTGATTCTCAGTTCACCCACGGTCCGCAAGAAGTCGCATTACCGAAGAGGTAATAGAACGCATATGCCTCTCACTACATTACATATAAGTATACAGGGTTTTTCTTTTTAAGCTTAATACATTTGTTTATAAAAGGCCGTCGAAGCTACACTAATGTCCTTTGTGCAGATGAGTTATACGGCCCAAGGGGCATAGTAGGGGGTCTAATGGTAATAATGAGTCGACTAATTAACTAAAATATGTTAACGGATGTTTTACTTATAGGAAAAAAATAAACATATAGAAACCTGCTGAGCGCCATCGAAAGCCACTACATCAGTCAATATTAGAAAGGCCTGGAGCACGTGGGAAGCACGGTTGAGAGCTCATGCAGCCGGAGCGAGGCCACCGGTGCGATCGCCCGCGCGGTATTTTTCGTCTCTCCTCGTGGCCTCAGCCTTGTGCATGCTGCCCGACTGGTAACTTTCGCCGCACTATGATGCGCTTCTTCCCACACGCTCAAATCTGTTCTAAAAAAATGTAATGATTTCGTGGTTTATCGATGACCCTCAGCGAGTTTCTAATTGGAAGCATATATCTATATTCACGAAATAAAAAAAGTGAATTAACACATTTCGGCTAATTATTGGAATTATCGTGACGATTATATGTCCCCCTAGCCGCGTAAGTTGGCTGCACAAACCACACTAGTATATAGCTTTCACGAATTTTGTTTCTGATCAATTCTGTTAAGCTTAAAAAAAACAAAACACCAAAAGCACTGCATATAAATACAATAAAAAAAGTTTACAGTGTTTGACCTGTACGCGGGTGCGATATAATTAATTAGGTGTTGATGTTGTTGGGAGACGTACGCCTCGGCTTCGTCGAAAGTCGTAACGCCTTCAGAAGCTAGAAGACACGCGAGCACAATACCACGGCCCGCCCCCCCCCTAAAAGCGCTCTTGATTGGTATTAGCTGCTGACAACATACGCACTAAAAACAATCTAAAAAAAAAAATCTGGAGCGATTGTTTTTTTGCGAAGCACTTGGAAAAGCCAGTCGCTGCAATCAACGGAGAGAGCTTGGCGATGTCAAAACTAATATAATTTAGACGTGAAACAAGATAAATAATTATGAAATACCAACTAACCCAAACCTTTAAAATAAAAACAAAAAAACAAAAAAAAACATTAGCTTTGTGGCAATGAGCTATAGGTGAAGACCGAGTGTTTCAGTTGGTCTAAATATATTATCGGCGTTATCAGCTCGTGATTCGGTGAGCATCCCCCGAAGATTGCAGCGATTGGCTCTTCCACGTGCTTTGCGGGAGAGCAGTCGCTCCAGATATCTTAGAGTCAAACGACGAGCTTCGTGCAGTAGCGAATTTGTAGCGCCGATTTACTGCGTGTCTTCGTCGGACCTTTTTAGCGTCGTCTGCGCTCTGAGTCAACAGTGAACCGAGGTATGGCGTGAGAAAGTGAGTGAATTTATCGAGAAATTAAGGAGGAAAAGAGCGCAAATACGGAACGAGAGGTTCGCCTCTCAATGCGGGGCAATATTTCCCGTTCCCCGTGGCTGGCGTATTATCGACACGAAAAGCTCGCATACGCCTCTACTCCGTGCCGGACGCAACATATGAAAACCTTCCTGTATTTAAAGTAAAAAAAGAAAAAAAAAAACTGTTTTTCCGTTGAAATAGTGACGAATTACGAGCAAATGACAAATCCCATTCGAACCCATACACGTATATTCCTAGACGTTCTTCTATTGTACGATGCGCTCTGCCTGCCCGGAAAGAGAAAAAACAAATAACCGCGGCCTATCCATCTTCGTTTCGAAAGGTAAAGACGCGTGCATCCAACGAACCAGTTTTCACGTGCAACGAGCTATTAATACGTTGTTGGCATACTCGCAAAAAGGCCCCGACAAAAAAAAACAGAGTAAATATAAAATTAAACCGGCCCGAATCAAACGTTTGCGGAGTGTCTGTCGTCGGTTCGTTTGTCACTGAAGAGCATGCTTTCAAGAGAGAGAGAAACGCGTGCTCAGTGTCCCAAAGACCTC